ATTTATAAATTAACTGTTTACAAAACCGTACATTTTTCTAAATACTATGGATTTGTACCCCAAGAATAGATTACCTTATCTGTATTTTGCAAAATCGTTTAGAATTTTGGGTCCTCAGTGCTCTTCAACTTTCTATTTACTTAGGCCTTTTTAACCTTTTTGATTCGAGCATCACTGGTGAGTCTTTTGTAGACAAACCGTACGTCTGGCGCTTGGTGTGTTAAGACTGCAGTGGTATCTATGAGAAGTTTATTTTATAACTAGAGGCACATCTAAGAAGTTTTATAGTGAATAAATGAAGAGGCAAATTATTGTGTACTTTAATATCAAACAAATATCAAGCCTCTGGTATATGGTAAGACTTGTGAAAGTTTTCTTTGTTATTATTATGTTCCAAATTTATACCACATTTATACAGCAATGTGGATTGCAAAATTAACAAATTTCATTGATTTGAAACAAGCGTAATTCAACGCGCATACGTTGTATAGATTTTGCTTGTCGTACCTGTAACTTTCCTCAAAGGTCCTGTTAACAAATTTTATAATATTGGCAACTTTATGAAGTGCGTCATATTCAGTTTCCCTCTCTCAATAAATAAACCGTTGTCATTACAATGCAAAAACTCAAAACTTCCTTGAAACATGTTTATGGATATAATTTGAGGCAAATTTGGCTGTTTTCTCTTGAATGTGGAGTTGTAACACTAGTATTTAATGTACTTGTAGACTACCTATTGGTTTATTCCACAATTACGTCGAACGAACTGGTATCCTCTTCATTGATAAACTCATCAAAATATTCATAAGCCAATTGCAAGGTTGAATCAAAACCTACAGGACCATGATTTTGGAAGAAAGATGGCAGTCTGTCAATTATGGAAAAGTGTTTGGCTTTGCAACAGCAAAACATGATCATCTGACATTACCAGGTCTATAAATAACATTGTATGAATCTTCAACATTGTGCCATGTGCGTAAGCCGTTGTGCGTAAGCCGTATCAACATCACTGTTGCCGTCTTCCCTAAACGACATTTTTTCAGAGACTACACACTTAATTTTCGCCATGACTTTTAAGTTCATATGCCGTTATATATTAAAAGTAATAACGATTTTAAGTCGTAGACGGTGGAAGCTAGGGACTGAATGCAGAATTTTTTTTCTTCTATAATTGACTATGAATGTTGGTGGACATGGTTGATAGTTGTCTCATTGGCAATCATACCATATCTTCTTCTTTTTATATCTTTCTTTATTTTCCTCTTTAAGAGTGTTGTATAAAAGCATGGTTTTGATTGGTCCATCGATTATCGATTTAGACAAAAGTAGACCTGGTAAAACAATTACAACAATTTCGGCAATATTGAGGAGTTAATAATTCATTTATGCTCAACATCAATACTTTCACCATAATTCAATGAAATACAGTTTCCACCAACGGTATCTAGAGAGATACAAGATATTACGTGCTTTTGATTTAAAAAAAAAAAACTAGCACAGACTTTATGTCGAAATAAGCACTTAATACAAAATGCCAATTTTAAAGAAGAGAACACATGTACAACATGGTGTCTAACACATGTTTTTAGGAAATATAAAAAATTCGATGTTAAATGTATTTATGTAACCAATATGGTAAAACCATGCATGTTACCAGATCTTCAAAAGTGTTTGGTTCATCTGGTATAACAAGAGGGAAGGTGTGTTGAAAAGTGGTTTTATGGTGGATTTTAAACTTGTCGACATGAAAAAAACAAATAGTTGCCCAACGGATGGATGCATACATGTATAATGATAAAAGAAATAATGATTCAGACATTAAGTTAATACAGGTACTAAATCATCATACTTCACATTGGCAACCAGTAAATTAGACATAATCATTTAAAAAAAACAGTAACATGCAGAGTTACTGAACGTAATTATGACTGAAACAGATGCATATGAAAATGGCCATTTAAGGCATTTTCGGCTGTAAATTTATCTAATCTTAAAAAAAATTCTTCGTTGAATTTTTTGTTATAGAAGTTAGTACAAATAATCATTTAAAAAAGAGGGGTACATGTACATGTATACTCGTTTTCAAGCCAATTATCAAAATTAGTCAAAAAATGCATCTTTTCCCAATACGTTAGACCGAATAATCTGTCTCTTGTGTGTTTATATTTGTCATTAATAATAACAATAATAAAAAAAAAATCATATTTCCTTTTTATCATTTGATTTTTATTTTTTTTTTGTTTCATGTGGACACAAAAAAAATAAAATAAAAATCCAAATGATAAAAAGGAAATGTGAAATGACAAATGTAACACAAAAACAAATAATAATAAAAATCCAAATGATAAAAGGAAATATGAAATATGAAATGACAAATATATACACACAAGAGACAGATTATTCGGTCTATACCAATACGTCACCTTTTTGACGTCGAGAAAAGTAACATTTTACGGAAGCGACGGCATTACCTTCCCTGTAACTGTATCATATGCCCTTAAGCAGGCCATTGAATTTTGTTATTATCTTAATTCATGTACTTTACAACCAGTCAACCAACACGGTAATGTTATGATTTTAAGTAATTGAACATATACATTATTCGAAAAAAAATTACCTAAAAAGGTTGTAAATCTAAATTAATGTATTAATTTTGTCATAAACCAGTCGTTTTTCAACCACAAACAAATGGCAGCTTGGAATGTACTTTTTCACAGATTTATTTAACAGACAAATAGTATACGTCGAAAAAATATGCATGATTGATTCAAGGTTGAATGCAGAAAGAATTCAAAGATTAATGTAGTAAATGCCGTCAAGAAACAAAATATGAATGTGTATGGATAAGGAGCAAAAATTTGTTACATTCACTTGGTAGTCATTCACTGACAGCAACCTTTCTTTGTGCATGTACATGTACAACTCTGTTCATATATCCGGTACTTTATTTCTAAAACCAATATAAAAATTATCAAGGAAAATAATGGGTTTAACTATTTCTTTTCCTGTCGAACAAGGGCATTTTCTTAAGCTTTATTATAAAACAAAGAATTGTATAACTACTACAACAGAATATAATTACTCTTAGATTTACAAAAGGACATTTTATTAAATAGGAATTCTTTTTTTTTAGATTATTTAGTAATGAAGTATACAAATTTGAGATGTCATAACTGTCAACAAAACAAACTGAACATCAAAAAAACATATTACGGAAGCTTATCCAACACTTCTGAAGAATTTAACATTCCTGAAATTCATTATCGCTATTTACATAACAATTGTTACAATATTTTATAAACAGTTCTTTGTTGGTTGGAAGAGCACTATTTAGAAGGAAAGAACAAATCACAGATGAAATATAGTTTACCGGATGTAATGATAAAGCGCGTCTATGGTTTTGTGTGTAACTTTCGAGAACAATACGTAGTAAAAACTTTATGTTTATGTGTCAGACCACCACTTCAAAACCCCTATATAATCAACCAAATTTTCCAATTTTCACAGCTTTCTAAATATTTTACCTCAAGTTTAACTTTATAAAATACAAGTATATCCTGGATTGTACATGTATCAACTTTATATATGCCAATTTTTTCAACCAATGCTAAAAGTGTTGTAGTGTAACACCACCGTTCGTAGTCAACTACTACTAAAAATAACCACTGGTTTTCTGGAAATCTTAAATAAGTATACTATGGATCGCATTATCCTCAATATTTAATTCAAAATCATGGACAAGTAAATTTGGCTCAAAATGGTATAATATATTTCTCTTTCACCAAAAGTTTCATTTCTGCAAATTCGTTTCTTATTTAAGTAAACAATGACATCAAATGCACTTATTTGTCAGAGTAGGGTTACTTTTACATATGTTCTAAATTGGAATGGATGAATTGGTGGTCTGACAGCTGTTCAGCAGCATCTCACATATAATATGTTGTATCAACGTGTTCTTCTGCTATCATTTCTCTAGTAGAAAATCACGTAGTATTAACGAACGTTCTAGAATTTGTAAACCAAGTATTGAGTATCTTGCACTTGGTATAGCACTTATGCCAGAAAGCGACAACATTGTTTGCCGATTTCTCAACTGTCTCACAAATAAATAGATTTCTGAGAGAATTTTAATTTTCAGTTTTGATATAATTGTTCATTAATAAGTGAAACAATTTTGTATAAAGTTAACTTTGAAATACTTATACGAATATCAACCATATTTATATAGTATTCTAACAAAAAATACAATTGTTTTTAATCAGCGTTTTTCTTCTTTCAAAATTTGCTTAAAAAGGTTAGTAAGTCGCCGATGATTTTGTGACACTCTTTACAGTTAATTCAATAAGCTGGATAATATTTCTGTTCCTTTTAACAGGAAATTTCAAAACTACTTTGTCAGAAACCATAGTGTCAAGTTAGCTTTGTTGAAGGCTTATACTTTTATTTTTGATACGAATACAAGTAAGTTTCGATGCCCAATTTGATCGGCGATCTGTATTTTATTTCACTGAAAGCTTAAAATGATTTCTGAAACTAATTTTAGTCTTAATTGTATTGTCATCTTGGAAAGAAGTTCAATAAAGGAATACAAAATATTTTCTGAGGTGATAATGCTGTTTGAACTTTGAATGACCCCTTGGTATCTTCCGTCTCTTTTTTATAAGAGGTATCAATTCATTGTAGTACTGAAAAAAATCAACATTATTTTTCGAGATTGTTTTTCTTGTTCACCGAAACTTTATAGACTTTGGCAAGGTTAAAATTATACACTTAGACTTCCATTTCTAGAAAGTCGGGTTTAAACTAAATCTATACAAGTACGCCTAATGACTGGAATTGGAACAAAATTAGGATTATCGAAACAGTGTACCTGTTTTTCCTTTATTTGTGGTAAACCGGAAGGATCAACCAAAAGGTCCTTCGGAAAGATGCATATCCGTTTTTGTTATCCGGCTGCTAAAAATATAAAATGAAGATGTGGTAAAGTTGCCAAGTTATTGCGAAGAAGAGAAAAAGAAGTGTTAAAACAACCTTGTCTTGTATAAGGGATTTAATTTTAAAATAAGTCCATGGTTTACTGTTTTTTTTTTAATATTAAAGTTGAATATGCTTAAATGCCAAAACATGTTTCATCCTAGAAGTTGAATATATATAACTCCACATTCAGATTATAACAGTGTTTCAGTCAGTTCCAATACGAGATAAAATCTTATAAAGACATGTTCTGTCCTTTATGTTTAAAAGATCGAACGGCGAAGAATAACGGACTACAGCTACATCATCTGTTATAACAACACCGTCTATGGTTAAATGTTCGAAATGATCATGACACATTTCAAGGGAGACAACAACAACTCTAGTTTTGTGTAAGATAAAGCCAACTGATACTGGTTTGGTCCTTGTGTGAGGCCATTCAAGGAGCAAACTTCGAACGAATTCATCTGGAATGTGTGTATATAATGGTTTTGTAGCATTGTAATTTGTATCTACTACATAATTTACAAAATCTGTAGTGTAGTCATTTGTTAACAATTGATCAGGGTATTCACCGACATCAATATTTTTTGGGGAATTATCTAACATCGTGAAAGCTTCACAAGTATCGGGAACACATAGCGGCTGTTGTAATAACCACTCAACAGTTTTCATTCGGGCATACGTTTTTTGTTTACTTTGATGTGTATGCACACAATCTTCGGCATCAGTATTATCTATTTTGAATTTATTACATTTCCATTCATCTTGTACTGATATAAATTCTGAATTTAATTTCACAGAGTAAACACTGTTTTGTGTTGTAGCAGTAAATACAGGTTTATCTGGTCCACCTGAATTGGACAAGACAGTATTACTCTCCTCTATGTAGTTTTGAGGAAAACTACTGGAGGAAACGCATACATGTACGCCATCGAACTTTCCATGGAAGTTCAACTCAGCCACACCTGAATCACTGCTAACTCGCTCTTTTCCTTGATTTTTTTCTGTTTTAATTTTATGCAATTGCTTTCTTCTTTTTTCATTCTTATGTTTCTGTGAATGATTATTGTTGTGTTGTATGCAGTTTGCATTTTGAACACAAGTAATATCTACCTGGTTTGGTCTTTTTCTGTATCTTTTTCTTTTCTTTCTGTACCTTTGTTTCTTTGTTTTCTCAAAAATACACATTTTGTTATTTTGATATTGAGTCGAGACATTCTCACAATTTTCATGTCTCAAAACAAAGTCGTGAAGGCAAATGTCTGAGTTACTTGATGAAATTTGACAATTACTTTGTGTTTGCAATATGTTTTCGCTATTCATCTTATTGTATAGACATTCATTTGGTTCAAAGATATTTGCATAATTTATCACGTGATTTCCTGCTACTCTAGATGATGTATTTTTATTATTTCCTGCACTGTTTCGTATTTGTTCAGAACGAGGCATATCATTTATAGTGGTGTTATCATATTGTCTGATATCAGATACGCGGGAAAATATGCTTTCTTTTTTGACAGTACCATTATGGGAGCTGTCATCCTCTAACAAAGATACCGAATTACACAGTGTAACATCCTGATTTTCATTTTTGGTATCTTTAATCTGTCTTTGATGAACAGAAATTGACTTTGAACATTCACCACTGTCTATCGGTTCTGAATACTTGCAGGCTATTTCATTTTGAGCACTAGAATAGGACATAGTTCCGTCTGAAACATTCAACTGAATATTTTCTTTTTTATTATTTTCTGTAGATTCCGATATCATTTTCTTTCGTTTTATATCTGCTTCAGTTGCCTCTGGTGTAGAGACTATAATTGGTAGTGGGCCTTTCGAAAATCCAGGTTTAGGTGTTTGCCGCAGAAAGCTTGGAAATTCCTGCTCCATTGCTGATCTGACACCTGAAAACAATCTTTTAGGAATGTTAAGCTTTCTGCCTGGCGCTCTAAAAGAAGAATCTATTGAACGACCGACAAACTGAGAAGACGATTCTTCTTGTTGAGTCTTGGTTGATTCACTACTGCCTTCAGTTACAGTTTCGTCTGGAGCAAGTGTAATGATAATTGGAATTTTATTGATAACTCCATTAGGATGAGACAATTTAACAGCTGGTAGTTTAATTCGGCCTTCTACAGTTCTTTTTCGTATATGACAATACATGCCATATGTGTCCGAGGTACTTCCAGCATTAACACTTTGGTCCAGTGGTGAAACTCTTTCACGCATTATACAATCAGATTTTCGTACCGGATTTGGCGTTTTACAAGTCTCGGGTTGTGCTTTCTCATGTATTGACGATGGTGTAGACGGTGTTTGTGCAATAGAGTCAACATTGTTACCATTTGATGATTCTTTTAAGGTAGATTTAGGTGAAGATGCTTTAGTCGATTCTTTGTCGATCTTTTCCTTTGATGAGCTGAAAACGAAATAACGGAAAACTTCAACAATAGGCCCAAACAATGTACTTTTATTAGTGACATCACAAGTAACCTTTCTGCACTAGTTTCCAGACTAAAGCAACTGTAATATTAACATAATTTTTAGGGGCCTGAATAAGTTTGCTATTTTTTCAATTGCTCATTTTAACATGGGTAGGCATTATATTTGTCAATATCTTAATACCGAGCGTTAGCGAGGTGTAAAATGGTGACAAATATAATGCCTACCCATGTTAAAATGGGAATAGAGCATGGCATGATAGAATTTATTGTGTCAAAGAGACAACAACCCGACCAAAGAGCATAAAACATCCCAAGGCCTACAATGGGTCTACAATACAACAAGAAAATGTATGGATTTTTTAGATTTATGCGTATGAATAAAAGAAGATGTGGGATAACCATGTGTTGTGTTGTGTTGTGTTTTGTTGTGTTGTGTTGTGGTGTGGTGTTGTGTGTTGTGGTGTGTTGTGTTGTGTTGTGTTGTGATGTGGTGTAGTGTGGTGTCTTGTGTTGTGTTGTGTTGTGTTGTGTTGTGTTTTTTTTCAGACACATTATGCTGAAAACAGATTACTGAAATATGTTATCCTATTGGTCATATAAATATTAGTGGTTCTTATTTTCATTCCTATTCTAATCAATCTAATATCTTAAAACTTCAATATCGAATGATTCATTTTTTTTCAAATCCAATGTCGTCGGGTCAAAAATAACACTCAAAAGATCTCCGTTTCTACTTTTGATTTCCAATAATTGATAAAAGACATATGAAACACAGTTCGTTAATAAAAAATACTAGAAATCAAATAATTACAGACAACAACTGCTTTCCTACTTCATGCTACATTTTACTAGAATTTACATTGAATTTCAATCATCTATGCGGGCCTTTTGTTATTATATTTAAAAAAAACGATTTAGGGAAATACGTAACAAACAAGTTATTTTTATCTATTATGTTGACACAAGAGAAACACAAGTTCAATGTGAATAACCAAACTAACAGCATACATGTACATGTTTGGATACTGACCCAAAGAATATCAAACAATTAAAACTGTCAATCATAGAGAGTTAGCAAGAAAACATTATATAGTCGGACAAGTTAAGGTAAAAAGAAGAAGAAAAAACGAAACGTATCAAACGCAAGTCTCGAACTCTTCGGTTTGGGCGACTTAATTATCGGTACATGTACTTATACATGTAGCATGTACATAGCTATTGTAACCAGTTTGCTTAAGGGGGTGCATTTTTTTAAATTTTTTTTAGCTTCTTGCTTTTTTATCGTTAAACTTCCGCTGTATCATATCACTTGCATATCTATATAAAAAATAAGGAGATGTGATATGATTGCCAATGAGACAGCTATCCACCCAAGTTCAAATGAAGTGGTTGTAAGCAATCATAGGCAACCGTACGGCCTTCAACAATGAGCAAAACCCATACATTATAGTCGGCTATATATGTTTTCATAAAAACTATTCATCAATTTAGATTATTAACATTTCAGAAGTGACGCATTCGACATTCTTTTCCTCATATCTAAAATTTTCCTGATATCAATATGTAGATTTGCTTTCTCAAAATTATGGGAAATAATATAATGAAAGCATATAATGTACTGTAAATATACAAGATACACTATAACAAATGTACAGTGTACATTTATACACAAGTAAAATTACAAATAGAGGATATAATTCATACAAAGTAAGCATCGGACATGTAAATATTATGCATGCGATGGAACAATATTCAATTTGAATTATCGCCCATTTATCAAAAAATCTCAACCAAGAAAAACGTAATCTATCGACTTAGATTTATAATGTATTTCTGAGATTGATCAATTGTTGGTTGCTGAACGTCGAGTGACAAATATGTCATGCATTATCACAACTTGAAAAAAATAACAATAAATACAATAGGTAGGTCCTGTAATAGTGGCCGTCCGGGATGAAGGTCTACTGACTGACACTGTAAAATGAAGGTATATTTGATAGGGACAGAAATTTTGCCTTGCAGCAGGCACTCTCTCTACATGAGGCATCGGATTTAACATCTGTATTTCTGAGAGGCTCAAGTACAACTTATGTAGCTTGTCCGAAAGTCTGTTACAGACATTTATTCATAAAATTGAAATTCAATGTTACTGTTATGTATTACTATAGATTATTGGAATACACACAATCTAGAGTAAAAAAGTACATTCCTCAGTTCAAGGGGCAACAGGAGGAACAAACATTAAAAAGAGTACACTAATCTATGAAATAATAAGTGATTTTTTGTACATGTACCGGACAGGCAAAAACAGTGATTTCAGTAACAAATACAAATGAAAAATGAAGTTACAAATAGTTGGTCAATTAACCGTCTTACCTTTTCTGTAAGTTTTTTGTAGAGTAAGATAATATGCCGATTGTGTTCAAACATAAATCTGCAGTATTTTGAGGTAAAAGATAATAACCCGGATGTTGACTATAAATTTCTCCAGCTAAAAGAATCTTTCGATTGAAAACTTCACCTGGTATTCCAAGAATTCCAAATATATCTAAAAACGACATGAAAACATCCACATAGAGGCTCTCAGGAATCTGTTTTGTCCTTACCAAAGATAAAAGTAATATATTAATTTTGCTCATAAACTTTTCAACAGTTAAAATAACTTCTTTCCTGGTATCCGATACATCACGTTTCAGCTTCATAGACTTCACTTTTACAGTAGATCCATGTAAACACGAAATAGCGCTATATAATTGTTCTTTACAATCAGAAAGGGTCTCAACATCAGCAACATCAAATTCTAAGGAATCGAAAACTTCTTTGATATAGCGGTCTCTCTTTTGATTTGCAGGATAAAACAAAGGCAGTAATTCAGAAATTTCACTTGAAGGTGTTTTACTTATTTTTAAGTTCCACTTTTCTGTCAGCTCTGTATACTTATCTTCATTGACTTCCCCTCTTTTCTCCATTGTTTTAGCAGCACTATTTGATCACGAACTTCACGTTACTAAGGACGTTGTTAAGGAATTCTATTGTATCGTCTACTATGCAACGACGTTTATGACGTCGCTGCAGGACACAGAAACTATAAAGGTAACGTAATTGTCGTTGATAGCAATTTGCACACCATCAAACAATCAGGATCAAAAGATGTGTACTACAGGTAGACAATTTTTACATCTTTGTATTGCTTGTGGATTACACATTTTAAATGGGAGAACATTTGTGACCTCTGTGGAAAGTTAACATCTTTTTAGCATAATGGGAGTAGTGCTTTAGATTATTGTTTTATTTTGGCCAATTATCTGAAAAATATATTATATTATCATATTTTCAACCTCACATAGTAGGATATAAAAGGACCTGGGTTATTAAATATGAAACAATCAAAAATAGAAACCCAACGGTTGCATCTAAGTAAAAACATGAACGCAATACAATCAGGAAAGACAACAACCAACAATTAAGCTTAATGGTTTCTTGATTCGGACAGGCACATACAGAGACAGGAACCATGAAAACCACCTGACTACCTGGCTTGGGACAGGCATGTGAAGAATATGGCGGGGTTAACGCTAAACCCTGCCATTACCTGGGACATTCCGGCCAAAATTGAAGTATATGATTGATTTTATTAAAACAATGACTTCTACTGTTATCCGAGTTAAGAACCTAAAGTTTACACTGACGGAGTTAATGTTATTTAAATTCATTTAATTACAAATTTAGAGAGCATGAAGATAAACATAAACTTTTTCAGTCATAACTTTTATACATAATTATATTGAAAAGGCCGACATTTGTAGCTTAACATATTCCCAAAGACTGGGTTTTCCTGAAATGGTGAGTTATCGAATTGCATACCGCAAACGATATGTTTACAGTATAACACATTTCTCTAAACCTTTTTTGATTACAGTATCAGCTTGTTAATTCATTAATTTATCTATTCATTCATTTTTCCACTTACCGCATAGTTTTCTTGTGGTAGTGTGCATATCTCGAGGGCGAGAGGTCGTTAGTTCGATCCCCGACAGGGTCAAAACCAAGACTTGAAAATTAGAATTTGAAGTTTCTTCGCTAGGCACGCTGTATTTAGGAGCATGAGTGAAGACTGGATGGGTCGGAGTCAGAACAATGTGCCTCGGTAGTTTATCTCGGAGTTCATATTCATACACTATTAACATGTTCTCGTCCTGACATGCATGTAATATTTGCCATTGGACTTTTACCACTAATACTCACATCACATTTTTGCCATTTATTATGTATATATCACAGGAGGTATAATAATTGATAGTTATTTACAGCTCAAAATTTGCTGAGAACGGAATTTCTGAACACAACAGTTGCTTTATATTTCTGGCTGTATTGATTGTTCTTGTGTTTGCTGTTACTGTTGTTTTGAATGGTCTAGTAGGCGCTTGAGGAAACGGTAAATAAAAAATGCAATGAACATAACAAATAACCATAGGTAAATCAATGAATAATGTACAATTAGGGAATGCCAATTTACCTTTGCATTAAAGTAAAAGTTTTTGAAAAGTTTTTATTATTCACAATTGCTATATTTGATGGGTTTAAATTGACATTTCTGTATGATGCGTACATTAATTACTATCAAACACACGTTAACATTACACCCCTCATTGTTTGTGATGGAATTCTCTAGGTTTAAGTGTTTGCAAAATTCATAAGGTTATTCACCCTAACTTTTATTAAATACGCCAACAATGCCCAGCTGTCCACTAGGTTGCTACATTTTTGTCTAGATTCTAATCGTTGGTCAGTTATTTCTATTGATGGTTTAGGTACAAAATAAACACCCACAGACACTTTGGGCTGTGTATGAAATAACGCGCTTTCAATATATGAATATTGGGAATTTACAATGGGAAGACAATTGATTTGAATAATCAAATTTAGTTTGACTTTAAACACGACGCGGTGGAGTCCAATATTTATAAAAAATTCATTGAACTACTTACTAATTATTATACCAAAAATACATAATTCTCTAGAAATGTGTCTTGTTTTATTGATGCCGAAATATAGCTGTGCATAATTTTAGCGTAGCGAGATTTTGACACATTAGTCCTAGTTTTCTAACGATTCGTCCGGGATTTGTACCTATAGGTCAGGGGTTTTCTTGTGCACAATATATTTTTATACCTAACATAAATATTGCTATTCGTCGTAATCTAATGTTTTATTTCTCTACAGTTTTTAATAATCGTTTCCAACATATGTCACTCGAACCGTATTTAAGTAAAACCCACGACCTCCTTTACCAAAGGCCCGAACACACTACCACTACCACAGAGGTCGACAAATATCTTGTTCAATCATCCGGAAACTTTTTCGTTTCTTTTTGTGCAAATTAAATCATTAGACCTACTGAAGGCTGCAAATATAAATCCTTCGTTCTTCCGACATATCAAGAAAAATATGTCTGAAAACAAAATGTCCGGATTCCTTGTTATTTCAAGTTGTATTGGTTGTTATCTTGGTTTATAGTATTTTAATTGTAACTGTTAATTTCGAGGGCATTTTGATAGAATCAATGACTTTAGCATTTCAATATTAGCTTGCATGTCTGCTTTTTTTTTAAAATTTATATCAAGTTTTTTACAATGTATGCAATACTGAACAAATACCCATACTCAATTAGACTGCAACCCAACGATCAAGATATTAGTAAAAAAAGATATCTAGAGGTAAGATTGTTTTACTTTAAAAATAAGGGTTAAGTTGAGGAATGTGAATATGTTCCCAAAAGTAAAAGAGGGACGAAAGAAACCAGAGGGACAGTCAAACTCATAGATCGAAAACAAACTGACAACGCCATGGCCAAAAATAAAAAGACAAACAGACAAATAATAGTACAGATGACACAACATAGAAAACCAAAGACTAAGCAACACGAACCCCACCAAAAACTGGGGGTGATCTCAGGTGCTCCGGAAGGGTAAGCAGATCCTGATCCACTAGACCCCAGCTAGTGAAGTTTAACCAGTGTTTTCCTTAACAGAAATGTTGGGATCTTACCACAATACATGGTATTTATGCAATGTCCTACTCTATGGATAGTATTCGGCTAGTAACGTCGTCATATCGAGGAGCGTTTAGTACAGTGATTTTGTCAATAGTTTAGTTAAGTTGGTCCTGGTTTAGTTAGGTTACTTCCCAGAACAGTTCTTTTCAAATGAGTAAATAAAAAGCAAATAAGATCGTTGAATATATATTGTAAGTCAAACGATCTACATTGAAATTGTTGTTTTTAAGAAATTAACGCAGGATAAGCAAAACATCGAAATTGATATGGTTTGGTTAAGCGATTGACATGGTTCAGTTAAGTGTCTAGAAATTCGTCATTGTTTTTATCAAATTTGTCATGGTTTATATAAAAATTAATACATACTTGTTTCACCTTAATATTGATAGTTCGTTTGAATGCGCCTGTGAACAAACGAAGTTACACAATTTACAAATTGACTAAGAAAAAAAAGCCTTTTTAACCACATTTGGTGGGCAAAATAAATCGGCAAACCGTACATTAAACATTTTACATTTCGTGTGTTTCCTAAGATAGAATTTATATATCCACTGCTCTTTTTATCTGTCATTCGATAAAATATATTACAAAAACAGAAAGCGTTTGCTTCTGTTTCATCTAAAATCCATGATGGACTTTGCCAAATGGTTGAAGTCTACTTAAAGTTGCAAAAAATATAGCAGGTGGTCAACAAATAATTTTGTTTTACATTTTTTATTAGCAAACTATATCCATCTGTTGTTTTTATTTTGAACCAAATTATGTCTATGATGAATTAAAGGAGATGTTGGGGTTATACGCCCGTGATACATGATACAGTAGCCAACTACAATGTCTTCAACCCTCCACGGGACAAAATTTTAACATGGACAACAGTTAAAACTTATTTTTTTAATAAACTCAAAATGAAATTACTATGAAAAGTACTTACAAATTTAAATATATGAAAGATCACAATTTCGAATCAGAATTTATTTAGGTCAATATAATGTCCTTTTTTTATCAATTATCATTACGAATGAATAAAAATGGTTATGTTTTTGTCATATTGTATAAATGTATTGTGTCGTATCTCTTAACCCGTTCAAGCTTTTTTTTCTTTTGTGCAATAAAGTTTCGATAATATCAGAAAAAGCTCTGTCGATCTAGTAGTCTATTTAGTATAAGAAATTGTACATTATTAAATGTGATTGAAAACATTATTTGAATTCCAAAATACACGTGTTATTTTGTTTGGTACAAGTACATTTAAACTGTGTACGACCTTATTTTTGACCCGACTAGACAAGAAATCATCGTTCAAAAAGCAGAGAATCAGATGAATGGAGATGAATATTGGCAGCAGAATTTCATTCTGAAATTGGAGTAACGTTTTGTCTTGGATTCATGATATTTTTATTAGTTGTTTTCGGCTTGGAACTAGCTCGCAGTAAATGCGAGTACTCACTGATCGGTTCTTGGTCTCTTTGGTGTTTATATTACTTGATAATTTTTCTTTTTATCGATCTGATGAGTCAAGTCCTTTCAAACAGTTTTGATAGTTTGTTCTTTTTTGTTAGGATGTTACACCACTGCCCAGGTTTAGACGAGGAGGGGGTTAGGAACCCGCAAACATGTTTAATCCCGCCATATTCTGTATGAGCCTGTCCCAGAGTCTATCATGCAGTGGCTGTCGATTGTAGATCATATTTGTTTTTCGTTTATTGTTGTGAACATAAATCAGGCCGTTGGTTTTCTCATTTGAATTGTTTTACATTTAGTTTTGTCGGAGCATTTATAGCTTGCTAAGATGTATGGGTTTTGTTTATTATTGAAGGCCGTATGACGACCTAACAGTGCTAACATCTACGTCATTTGGTCTCGGATGGGCAGTTGTCTCATTGGCAATCAAATCGCATCTACTTATTATATATTACTATGTGCTTTCTTAGATTCTTTTGTATTCCAAAATAAAACTACTTTTAAAGAAAATTACCATTGAAAAGCATTAATATATTATCCTCGTGATTGATTTATACATGCGTGCTCTTTAATGATAACTTAAATGATAATAATCTTGAATTCACTGTAGACGACTATTTTTTTCTCGAGCGATATATTTTCGCCTGTAGAAGATTAACGTAATGTGAAACTTCGATCTACTCGTATGGGAATAAAACAAAACATTGCCTCGAAATAGGATAGAATGTGTTAAACGCGAAAAAAAAGTATCGACAATTTTTTTTTTTTTTTTTTTTTAATAGTATTCCAATAGTTATATAATGTCTGTTTATTTAGATCGTTACTCTTCCATCATACACAACAGGAATCACAGAACTGAACCATGTCGAACATGAACTAAACCATGACACTACTCAATCAAACCATGACACCAAATGTTCAGTAATCTTTAACTGTGTGCAAATGTAGCTATTTCATATCATAACAAAATGGTTATGTACCAGACATTAAAGAAATCACTTTTTAAGCATAAAAAACAAAAAAGCAACTTTTAAAATTTGACATACGCAAGCATTATTCTGTGTCAAATCATTAACTACATGATACACATTTTAATGTACTGAAAGAGGGACGAAAGATACCAGCGGGACAGTCAAACTCATAGATCGAAAACAAACTGACAACGCCATGGCCAAAAATAAAAAGACAAACATACAAATAATAGTACAGATGACACAACAAAGAAAACTAAAGACTAAGCAACACGAACCCCACCAAAAACTGGGGGTGATCTCAGGTGCTCCGGAAGGGTAAGCAGATCCTGCTCCACACGTGGCAACCGTCGTGTTGCTTATGTTATTACAAATCCGGTAAATAGTCTAATTCGGTAGGTCACATTCGTGAAAAGGGAAGGGTATTGTAGTTACGACATAAGGAACATATCCAATATCATCTTTGAAACGGTTATTCCATAACGGTCAACCAACTCGTGATGGCGTCCGTAAAATTTACGAAGGATGATTTCAACTTCACCATTTGGAACTCTTGGTTTAATAGCTTCCTTGTGAGCAGCAATCCTCTATCAAGGAAATCATGATAGGAAATACAAGCCCGGGAATATCGTATCAATTGGGAGATATATACTCCGTATGCAGGCGCTGCTGGAATTTTGCTACATAGAAATGGAAAGTTCACAATTGGGAAGCTGAAATCATCTCTTTTGTCGTAAAGTTTTGTTTTCAACCGACCCTTATTGTCAATTTCTTAATGTAAGTCAAGATATGAGGCAGACTTAACTGTATCTAAAGTATCCTTTATCTCTAGTTCGATGGGATAGATTCAACTGTAGATAGGGGGAAATTAAATCTATACAGATAATACTAACATATTAGCTAAAAACAAAGATACTTACCAGCTTGAATTTATGTTCAGAAGTTCCTTTAGCAAAACAACCGAATGTTTATATTGTGTCATTGTTTTTCATTACAAACACTTAACACAATCATGTCCAACTTAATCAAACTATGACAAAATCACTGTATTAAAAGCTCGTCGATATGACGACGTTACTACCCGTGTAGGTGTGGCATTAAATAACATCAAATGAATAACAAAATAATTAGAATGTAACTTTGACAATTTTGAATTTAAAATTTTTAGATAAAGAATTTCTTCGAATTATTAATTTCTCAATAATTCCATTATCTGGAATAACATATATCTTTGATTTTGAGCATGACTTAATTATTTTTGAGCACATCATTTGGGGGAAATAATAACTTGTATTTTTGTTTATCTCTCTTCCATTTTCAGAACTGATTGCGCTATCCGTTCGTGATGTGCGGTTGCTTGGCTATTTACATTTGATAGAGAAGATTTAATTTCCCCCTATCTACAGTTGCTTTAATTTTCGTAACTCTGTCCATTGTCCTTGTTATTTCTTACATTTACTTACAGAAAAACAGAACCACTCCGATTAATGAAGTTGTTAAAAGAAAAATGGTTTATTCGATTATTGCTTCAGAATGAATTTGCATTTTATGTAAGTTGGGTTTTTGTTGCACTTTGTCCACCTTTCAATTATTATGATCTTCAGTGTCATAGTCACACAAGACAAGAATAGCACAGTATCTTTGATAATTTTGGCAATTTAGGTTGTGCTTTGGTTTGTACTGGATGTATCTCTGCTTTCTAAGAATAATCTCTACACATGTGCGTCATATATCCTGATGTAATTTTTTAAATTTACAATAAACATACATTTCATTTATGAAAGTTATTATGTAGACACTATTTTTAAATACTTCATTGTCATATTACATGTGTACTTATAGCTATAGCCTATCAAGCAATCTAATTTCCGGTATCGGAAATCTTGACTCAAGAATTTTAATTTAAAACGCAATATAAATATTACCATGCTTGGATGTAGTACGGGAAAACAAAAATGTTGAGGGAGAGTAGGAAGTAAATAGAAAATTAGTTGTCCAGTTGATAGCAAGAGTGCTGGAAACAAAGAGATTATAAGTATAACGAAAATTTTAAATATACATGTAGTAGCTATCTCTGAATTTTAATGAATGACAAAAAAGTAAACCTTTTTCCTCAAAGGGGGTGGTTATCCATGGGGAACTGCAATTCACCAGCAGTGGTATTGACCAATTGATAAAAAATGAAAGCAACTCTTAATAAAGTTGGAGCGTCCAAAGCACTTTCTGGATTTACCTAAATTAGGAACGCTTAAAACTCCAAACTTTGAAAGCCAAGGACATATTAATATTTGGATATCTAAACGATAAAAACAAACTTAAAAGTATAGCTAATTCGAAGTTCATCTTTCTCTTAGTGAGTTCGAACATTACTATCTTAATAGTTTCTAAACCTAACAACGTAGAATTTAAGAAAGCCATGTAAAAAAAATTATGTCTGTATCGAAGCACTTCCTTAAATTGAGAGCTATCACAATAAAAATTCTACTTAGCGTGTCGGTCAAGTACGATGCAATGTCTTTATTACATGTTTTCAGTCTTACTATGCGTGTAATATTTGCCGCTGAAAAATGATCCGTCATTTACAATGTACAATCGATGAATAGCCATTTAAAATAGATCAACTTATTTGTGTACGATAAATATTTAGGCAGCATTATATAAAAAATAAATTGGGAATCCCAATCTATTAGATATTTCATGATAATAGGCAAACACTTAAGAAATTGTCATTTAAGTTGAAAATATTTTTTGTAGATCTTGCATTTTTGATTTTTTTAAAAGCCTATATTTGAATGAGTCGTCTAACAATAGAAATAGAATGTAATCAGATCTCGCCATCGTCTATCTATTAGGGCTTCGATATATCAGTCATACATTTAGGTTTTACCATAAACCTTAGCGGACATGTTAATTGATAAGACGCAATATAATAGAACTAAACTTATCAATCATTGAAAATAATAAGCACATTCATAAACATAATTATGGTCGGACTATTTTGAAAAAAAATAAAACATCTGTTTTTCTTTTCTTTACTTTGTGGTGGGTTTTGTTACTGTCTCATCGTTTCCTTTTATACATATTCATAGGCATGTGTAAATGCTTACTTAATTAGCTTTATCATTACTTCCTCTTAGTGCATTTAAAATTTAAACTTTGTACACAATAAGTACTTTACTTTCTATTATCATTTGTAAGCGACTCATGACCGGAAAGTCAAAATATTTATAGAAATTCGTGTTTACAGAAAATTGTGTCCTTGTTCCTCGCTGGTTATATAATATATTGTATGCTTATATCTATAGTTATATATTTTTCCTCCTTTGATGACTGAGCTCAAAATGTCTGTTTCATTATTCTTCGCATTGCTTTGCGGACTGAATGGTAAGTTTTGTATTATAAAATTATTTCGGATTGTGCGCTGACAAGTTTGAATTTCATCGTTTTTTTCATTTTTATCTCAACAATTGTAAAGAGAGCGATTTCGCAAAATATAATGCACAATAATTTATTTTTTTTAATGAAAATAAGACGTTATTTGTATTATGAAGGAAAACAAATCTCGGTTTCAACTTAATCATAGTGATTACTTTTAATTTTAATTCTGTTCAAGTGTTCAAAAAAGTCGACAAAAAAAAAATACTGCTAAATAGTGGATGTATATATATGTAGTAAACTTGATATTGTACGCATTCAATTACAGTTTGTTGCGGACTAAAGGAAATTTTGGAGTCCTATAAGGTGGAATTTGAACAACGTGAAGTAGATGGTTTGTATATATAACAACAAAACAATCTGAAAGAAATATACTACGTCTTAATTTCGTTTCGAAAAATATTGAATTTGAATTGGCTACAATGCCAAATGTTCACCCAATTTGATACGATGCTATAATGAAACCTCTGGCAGATTGTAGAAGATGACAGTGTAGACTGCTGGTTAATCCTCGCCAAAGATGATAGGGTATAATTGTGTTTACCTGTCTGTGCGTCCGTCTGTCTGTCCGTCCGATTGTCTGATAGTCCTTCTTGCTTAAGTTTTGGTGTAAAGTAGTTAACCAAGACGGTCACATCAAATTGAAACTTGGTACACATGTTAATTGTGGTGTGAACGCTTGAAAAAAATTGTCATTTAAGGGTTTTGACCCGGATTTCATTGATCAAGTTCCAGTCTTGGTTTTATATTGGTCAAATCTGATTTAAGAAAGTTCACAATTAGGTTGTAGTCTCACCAACTTGACACTTACATGTAGTACAAATCTTCATTACATAGGCAAATTTTGCTGACATGAATTTCACATGAATTTCACGTGATTTCACCGCAAACGAGCTTATACGTGAAACTCACGTTAAAATGGTCGTGTAAATTTCACGTGGATTGAGATCAGCATGAATCTTGCGTGAAATTTTTCATGTAAATTTCACGTGGACTTTACAACAACAAAAGTATGGTATTCTTCATGATTTTGATTAAATTTGAAAATTAAGATGTTATTTGAATAACTTTATTTTGAAAACTCACGTGATTTTAACGTGAAAGTGTAATCGGGGCTTGGTGTCGAATGGACACACATTCGTTTAATGTACTATTGTTATAAATTGTTATTGTATACTGATCACTTCAGTATGTAATTTCATAGAATTTCTTTCTTTCTTAATTTAGCAAGTGACTACATATGGGTCTCCTCACATTCACCAGTTAGCAAATGTGTGTTTTTTAACACTGTGACAAGACAAATTGAATAAGACAAAATAAGAAGGTGTTAGATGTAAATGTCAAACTCATTCACTCGCACACTTATTCTACTCATTCTAACTGACACACGCGACTAACAAACATGTTGAATTCAGTAATATAAAATAGACTAAGTTATACAGAATGCAGTATGTGTCTCGTTTTCTTCAAATTAAATATTTGTCATTTAATTTTATTTTATTTCTTTGTAATAAAGAAATTTGTACAAGAAAAATGAAGAAACGCGTACAGGTGAAACGCAAACCATGCATATTTTACCTTTTTTTAACATGTATTATTTGAAAATGTTTGCATTAACATCATTAACAGTTGCATGGATATTTAATCATTTCAGAGGAATATAATGGACCTGTATCTGGTAATTCAAAAGAATCTAATGGACTAGTCTCTGATAAGTGCATGAGATGTATTTGCATGGTAAGATGTACTGATTTAATGAAATTGTTATATATTTGCCTTAAAACTGAAAATTATGTACTACACGTAATTGTATACCCACTTACGACAGTAGGGGCATTATATTTTTCGGTCTGTGTGTCCGTTCGTTCATCTCGTATCAGGTTAAAGTTTTGAATTTGATCAAATGTAGTTTACCATATCTTTGTGGTCGCATCTACTTGAATCTTAGTACACATGTTCATGATTATTACTTAGTACCTTTTATTACCAGTGAAAAATAATGTTGTTTACCCTGTGTTTAGCGTTTCACTAAACACGGAAATATAATAAAGAAGCGGAGCATCGTGTTGTGCAGTAAATAAGCAATTACGTCTTGGATTATTTTTATGTCAAAGAAAGGCGAAGGGTACCAAAGGGGCATTCAAACTCATTAGTCGAAAACATACTAACAATGTCATGGCAACTAAAAAGAGAAAGACGAACAACAGTATACACAACACAACATAGAAACCCAAAGACTGAGCAACACTAACCCCACAAAAAACCGGGACTTATCTCAGGTGCTCCGGAAGAGTAAGCAGATCCTGCTTCACATGTGGCACTCGTCGTGTTGCTCGTGTAAGTAAAAGCCCGGTGATAAGTCCTATTTGGTAGGTCACATTCGAGGAAAACAGGATCAATGATTTATAATTACCATTTCCCTACTTAGAAAACATATTATGCCAGTCAATGTTTTAATATACTCCTTCTGTTTGAATATGTTTAATCATTGAAAACGATTAAATAGAATATAAGTTTTTCAGCAATAATTGCTTTCTTTTACTTTCTTATGAACTAATATATTCCCCTTTTGATAATGCATATATTCAATTTTATTGTATGTTAAAAGCTTTAAGTAAATCCGAATTCTGTCTATAGGTAGAGTCTCATTGCAACAACAATATAGGATGTCGTATGGATGTTGGTTCTTTGTCCTGTGGACCCTTCCAGATTAAAAAGCCATATTGGATCGACTGTGGACAACCCAAAGGAGGTAACATTAATATTTACAAGAAAAAAATGCTCATACTTTGACCTTGTCGACGAAGTGATACAGGTCTGTAGATCAAATCTATCTGTTTTGATCACTTCTATATATATACTTGATACGGTAGTTATTAGAACCTCTGTTCGGCAAAATGCAAATTTCGAGAAGTGCTCTCGGTCTATTGGTAAATGATACAGTTTGTTGTTATCTTAAAAATTTGTTTACCGCTGTTCATTGGCCAATAAAACATTCTGTCTTTAAAGGAAGAGGTATGATAAGTAGATATAAGAAGATATGGTATGAGTGCCAATGAGACAATTCTCCATCCAAGTCACAATTTGTAAAAGTAAACCATTATACTAGTTCAAAGTACGGTCTTCAACACGGAGCTTTGGCTCACACCGAACAGCAAGCTATAAAGGGCCCCAAAAATGACTAGTGTAAAACCATTCAAACAGGAAACCAACGGTCTAATCTATATAAAAAACGTCACTTTACTGACCCCTTAAATTCGAAAATAAAAAACGTATTTCAATTCTACCACGTAACATCTTTCAGACGTTCAATAGTCTGTCTGTCAGACATCATTTATATGTTTGAATTTTGTCTTACAATGTAGGTTTTGATATGAGGGCTTCAAACTTCTTACAATTAGTTGAAACCAGCAGATAAGTCCAAAGCAGCCTCATTTAGAGATCTTGTCGTTAATATTTAGATATGAGCAAGAGCTTTACTCAAAAATATATATTGCTACAAAATGTAATTTACAAAGATATTTTAAAATGTGTGTAAATATATATCTTTTTGTGCACGTGCTCATATATATTTTGACCAAAAACTAAAAGTAAAATTATGTTAAGGATGTAGTTTAGGTGAAATTTGGATATATTTATGACGTCATTGTGACATAACCTTTCTGTACTACAGTTTCCAGGTTAAAGCATTAAAGCATTAACTTTGAAAATCTTGAATAAGTTTACTGTTTTTGCAATTTCGTGGTCCAGATAATTGAACGTCTTGCAGCTTTAGGCTTTACTCAATTAAATAATATGTCTATATGTTGGGGCTTTAGGATTACCCACTCAAATCTAATCTATTTCATGGTCAATATTTACATCTTTTATTTAAACATTAATTATACACCGAATTTGGGGTGCGTAGATAACTAAAACAAGAGGATAACGAGAAACCGTTACTTTGTTGTTGGGTTGCAATCTTATAGACATATACCTAAATCTCTGTTTATGTACACCAGTTAGACAAATGGGATACAAATGAAGCGGAATAAATAAAAATCAGTTACAACAGCCGACCCGAAAACACTTAATGAAACTTAGAGATACTAGGATCAATAACACTACTAAAAGCAATGCATGAGATCAGTTTCCCCGGAGGTACATGTATTAGACTCGATCACAATATAATAACATGATAATAACAATAATTGGTTATTTCATTTCAGACTATAAGACATGTGCCAACGACTATTCATGTTCCTATAACTGCATCCAGGCTTATATGACGAGGTACATTGGTCACAGTGGATGTCCTAAAAATTGTGAAAGCTATGCTCGAATCCACAATGGAGGTCCAAGAGGATGTACAAACCCAAACACCATTGGATACTGGAACAAAATTAAACAACAGGGTTGCACGATATATAGTTAAAGCCACCGGACGTATAGATCACATGTTTGTACATACTAGTAACGCAAAATAAAGTAACATTAACTCTGAATTACGATTTACAGTTTAATCATCCACATTTCATATCACCGAATTTTATTTTGCAACATAATATACACCATGTAGATAGAAGTTTGTACTTGCCATGAGCAATACTACGGATGCAACTATTGGAGCAGAATCTGTTTAGACATCCGCAGCATTTGAGTTCACCCCTGTGTCTCCTTCTTGAGTGTTCATTGTAGTTTTTAAGGGAATTGTTTGCCGTTTCGTGTCTTCTTTTTTGACCATGGTTGTCCGTTTATCTTCGAATTATGGTTTTTTCATTGCCTCTTGGTTTATTCTACCTCCTGCGACAATAGGGACTCCAACAGGTCAGCCAAATAGGTTAGGTCATGACACTTTTGCCTGAGGACTTTGCAACCTTGTTATTTGGTAAAACTGAAAAGGTCTTTGAATATCGAAATAAAAATTGTCCAAAACACAAAAAGGGGAAAAATCGTCATTTAAAACAAAATTGTCTTATAAGACAACTGACCGATTTGCAGATCTTGCTGATCAATTTTGCTTACATTTCTATCTATCTATCATTATAATTTTAAAGATAATAGTCACAAACGCAAAACAAAGGGAAAAATGTCACGTAAGGGCACTAAGTCATCTGAAGAGTTGGCAAATTTGTTCAGCAATATCAATTTATTTGTGACAGTAGAGCTTGCCTAATGAATCATTTTTGTTTTCTAAAATTCTCTCTTTAGTCTTAGATGCATCATTTTTTTTATTCGTAGTTATTAGCTTTGAACATGCTGTCAGTAATCAGGAGTACTCTCAGATCTGTACTTTGTGTCTTTTTTGTTGTTAGTGATGTATAAATACCCTGCCACGTCCGGTCTGTGGTTTTGTTAGCTGTTTTCTGCTTTGTATCGGTCTGATGAGTTTAGCCCTTTCCAACTGATTTCTTATAGTTTGTTCTTAGGTTTTGTAGTAACACCACTGTCCCGAGTTAGGGGAGGGTTGGGCGCTCACAAACATGTTTAACCCCGCCACATGTGCTTGTCTTAAGTCAGGAGCCTGTACTTCAGTGGTTGTCGTTGGTTCATGTCTGTCATATTTGTTTTTCGTAAATTTTGTTATAAATTGGGTCGTTACTTTTCTAAATTGAATGTTTCATATTTTTCATGTCCGGGCCTTTTATAGTCAACTATAAGAGGTATGGGTTTTTCTCATTGTTGAATGCCGTACTGTTGCCTATAATTGCTTACATCCACTTCATTTGAACTTTGGCGGACAGGTGTCTTGTTGGCAATCATACCACATCTTCTTATTTCTATATCTATCTATTATAGTTTCATATTAATAGAAAAAAAAACGCCCAAAAAATTATGGTTAACATCTTCATTTAAGGGCGATAACCCCTACTGACGATTTCCGCAATATTGACATACTGATCAGTTTTGATTTTAAGCTTTCCCTCTGTGTTCTATGTTTAATCATGTCGGTCTTTTTGGTTGGCAGACGGCTTGGGATCATCGGACACTTTTTTTTAAACTAGATACTCCAATGATGAATATGACGACAATTCAGAAATTTAAATTCTTTAATTGGTTTATCTTTTATCGTTATAGTGTAAAAACGTATGATTTAACTGTCAATCACTTTGTATCCATATCAATATCGTTAACACCATCTATCGCATCACTCCATTCTGAATATTTTGAGTTTGGTACAAAAACTAGTATTATAAGATATGATGCTAACGTCCCAAGAAAATAGAACCAAAATAATACCCTATCGACAACTGTGGCTATCCTCTGCCATTCTGCTACAATAAATTTTCTTTTTACTAATTCGTTACGCGTTTTACACTGAATAGCGTTTAGATTTAGCTCAACTTCAGCATCTGGTCTTATAGCAACCTCCTTTATTTGTGTATTTGATTCAATAAATTTTGATTCCTTCTTATTATTGTTAATTGACCGATTTGTGGTATACTCTGTTTCTCTCAACTGACTTGAATGTTCGTGAATTTCGTCATTTTTAAGCCAAATTGTTTCTTCTAGTTCAACGTCTGCCTCATTTGATGCAGTTTCTGACTTGCCTCTATTCCTAAATCTAACTGAGGACGATGACGGAACCATAATTTGATTTTCGTCTGATACTGATTTCCATCTCGAAGGTTTTTGATTTTGAATTTTGTGCTTTTTACATAGATATAAACCCTCTTTTTCTTCTTCCTGTAAATACAACAAATTGTATGAATTATCTGTAGAAATGTGCTGTTTACAAAATTTACCGACAATTTCGAAATATTAGACTAAGTTTACAATTACAAATTCTTGTTTATTTAAACATAATAAGGCAGAGACTGGATAATGTATAGTTACATGTTTTTTTTTTCTTATCATGAATGATTTTGAAGTTTCAATTTCTTCCACAAAAATGATATAAATAATATTTTAAGTTACCCAAGATATGCTATAAAGCTTTGTATTGGAATATTTTACTGTGTTTTTATTCTACATTTATAGGACTGATTACTTAGTGATTTATTACTGAAAGTTGAAAACTTTCGATATATGATATACGTTGACAATTTAAGATTCATATATAAAGTAATAAGACAGCTTGTGTGTTATTGCAAATTGTTCATTATTTAAAAGAACATCTTACAAGAGATATGGAACTGGCAATCTTATACAGATCATGCTTAAGTAATAGTGGTTTTGACATCCATCTTAAAGCAAATATCCTTAACCACATAGGTGCTCGTTTAGTTTTTATTCCACGATTGTAAAGGTTGATAACCATAACTGCCATTATTACAGACAAAGAAGTCATTGTCATAACAACACAAAGGTATATTCCTGAAATGATAAAATGATTAGGTGTGATAATGAAGTAGAACAAAGTATAAGTTTTACGTACAAAGATATTTGACATAAAATGTGGTGAAAATATAATACGTTTCTATCAAGTCCGCAGTTGCACTTTTGTGTTGAAAAAATTATAAATTTACAGTTTACAAAACTTTGAATTTTTCTAAATACTAAGGATTTTCTTCCCCAGGAATAGATTACCTTAGCTGCATTTGGCAAAACCTTTAGGAATTTTGGGTCATCTACTTCAGCCTCGTACTTTATTTGGTCTTTTTAACTATTTGATTCGAGCGTCACTGATGATTTTTTTTTGTAGACGAAACGCACGTCTGGCGTACAAAATTTTAATCCTGGTATATATGATAAGTTTATTTATTATACTTCATGTCAAAATGCCAGATTTTGATTGGTTAATACGAGGGAGACAATTTACTCTATCCCATGGAAAATACTCTATTACCCTTCACGGAGACGCTTTCACAAGTGTGCGCTTTAATAAATACGGATGATTGTTATGTACAAGACGACATAGTTTATTACTTTGAATATGAAATTTAATAGACATTGATAACAGAACATTCAGTATAATAAATTAAATAACACATATCTGAGAGGGTGATAGAGCAGATTGTTACCCCTCGAAAAGACATTGTCAACCTTGGCTTCGCCTCAGTTGACAATGTTTTCTTGGGGTAACAATCTGCTCTATCACCCTCTCAGATATGTGTTATTTATATAGTGTTGTATTTATTTATTTATCAACCGATATATATATATATATATATTCATGTATTTACTGAAAATTAAAACTTCACTCAAACAAACCTATGAGTGGTACAGCTTCAGATGTTGCAGGTACTTCCTCGGCTATTAGAAGCATAAACATGGAAAAAGCTAGGAAAACAGATAGCCCAAGTGTGATCTTTTCACCAGAAGTAGGTGGCAGCCAAAATGTCAATAAAGTCAGTATTGATAGCATTACACATGGAACAATAATATTGAATATGTAGTAAAATGTTTTACGTCTGATATGTAAAATATAGGTAAGATCTGGATGGGGATCAGGACAACAGGAGTGTCGACGGATATTTTTACGTAGTGTGACCGATAACAGGTCCCATTCACTGTTGTTGACATAAGAGGTGAGGTCTATTGGAGTTGTATTACTTATAGACTGATAGTCCATCCACTTTCCGCTATAAATCCATGAACCAAAACGGAGTATGCATTCTTGGTCATCAAAAGGAAAATATGTTATATCAACTTTACAGGAACTCTTTAGTTTAACTGGGACTGGCCATAAAACTGTCCCGTCATAAGTCACTAGTATGTATGTTCCCTGCATAAATCCAGTGGAGCCGTCATCAGCACTACAATTCAGAATAGAAGCATATTTCAGATGATTTACTATACGTATTTTGGTATCGCGATAGTATACCGATTTTTATGGAGGGGTTCGTGCTGACCAATCTGTATTTCTCTGTGAAATGTTTTGTAATTGTTGATTGTCATTTCTTTATTTTTATGTTTGGCCATGGCTTTGTCCGTTTTTATTGGACTAATGATTTTTAATTGACACCTTGGTATCTTCAGTAATTCTCATTTTAAATCTTTTCTCTTTATGTCATTTATTTTTGTGTTATATCTTTTTGTGCTATTTCTTTTGTGTCATTTCTTTTTGTGTTATTTCTTTTGCGTTTTTTCATTTTGTGTTATTTCTTTTGTGTCATTTCTTTTTGTGTTATTTCAAATGCAGAACCCTTCAGTTATGTTTGTGATATATATTGTAGGTAATATACTGATATAACATAATGATATAGGAAAACAAATTGTAAAAGAATCAGAATTTCTGGTGTATCATTTTTCTAAATGTACTTAATGTACCTATATATAGTTTTATACTTACTTGTTGTATATAAACGTATCTGGTAACCACACTTGTTTAGTCGGTATTCGTAGCGACTTTACATTGTTATACTGAACAGGTTCCCACATTAAATGTTCATCTCTCCATTCCTGAAAAATAATTTTAGCAATACTTCTACTTATCATATTGAGTATTGTCTATATACTGAAAGCCAATGATGTATAAGAACCGAAACTGTTGGAGAGCTATATGACAAAAAAAACACCTAAGAATAATAGTCAAATCCATCTAACTTATAAAGGTCAATTCTACCTGAGGGAGTTAGAACCTTCGTTTCTTAATAATTTTATAACCATCGGAATCACATGAACTCAAGACGGATTGCGATCTGGTGTAGACTGGGTACTCATTCCCTCTCACCAACCGCAATATAATTCCAAATTCTTGTCCAGTATTAAAATTCATAACCAGGAATAAGACAAAACCGGTAAAAATGTATATTAACCGTTAACGGAAGTAGAAATTAAAAGTTGTATCTATATAGGCATGATCACAAAATTCTGTGGATGTCAAAGTGTTTCCTTAAATGAACGAACATTTATTCATAAACTGGCGATTTTACGTAACAATGTTCCATTTTGCAATCTAGAGAAGGTATTGGGCATGCTTGCATTGGGGAGTTAAAATAAGACTCATTTACCAATGCTTTGGCATTATGACAAAGGTTTGATAAGTGTTCCCTAAAAGGTGAATATTTCCAATATTTTATAATATTACTCAAGTTTGTCCTGACTGATTCTACACATTCGGAAGATACTTACATTTGATTTGACAAGTTATTTATGAACAAATTTATTTTATCCCTTTCCCATACGGTAACTAAGTTACTAAAGAGACTACACTCTTTACATTATATTACACTGGAAGAAAATAAAACATTAAAGAGGGGGGGGGGGGGGGGGGGGGGGTGTTGCAGAGTTCCACATGATAAAGCTTGATGTATGGTATACGTGTGCCAAGTGATAAATTGTAATTGGGATAAATCTGTTTGCGCCAAAAATACGTCCATTTGCGCCATGACTCATTTGTTAAGAACCCTAACTAGAATTGAAACTTCTTCAAACAAAGTTGACCTTAGACGATTTACCCTGTTCTGCATGTCTATGGTTCAATTTTTTTTAAGCTCTTACAAATTCTATATATTAAACAGCTATTGCAAGATGAAAAAGAAACTGCATGATTTTGGATATTATACTTTCTATACAAAAAACTTTTAAAAAATAACGAACTCTAAGGTAAATTAAAAAAGGGAAGTCCATAAAACTTGACAAAATCGAACTTTAGACTATATCAACCAATGGAACGAATGGAATACAACTGCCATATTCTTGACTTGGTATTACGAAGAAAATGGTGTACTAAACCTGCTTTTATAGCTAGCTAAACCTCCAACTTGTATGACAATTGTTTATAGTTTCGATATATTGACTAAATTAGGTGAGATACCAAAACAGACTCAAATGTCTAATATTCTCTAAATTGTGTATATCCCCTCAAGATATTTGACATGTTTAATGGTGATCTTTCATTATCATGACATACCTGATGTACATATATCTGATGATCGTTGCTTTTCAGTGGCATGGACTTTTATAAGTGTAAATAAAATGTGTTTTTAGATAGCTTAGCTTAAAAAAGAGTAACTTGATTTTAGTGCATTTTGTCTTATATCATAGTACCAGGACAGATTAATGTTTTACAGTATACTTAACATCAAAAGCGCAATAATCATCTCTTATCTGTTTTTTTTTTTTCTTTTTCCATAAAAATTGAAAAGCTGATAACTTTACCTGATCAATAAACACATTCGTTGTTAAGACTTGATGTCTTTCATCCTACAAATATGAAAAATATCTTACAATTTCATTGGGAATAGTCGTTTAGTATAATTGTTTTGTTAATAGTGTGTTTTCCAGTTATAGAAGTATGCAAGTCCTCCAAACGCTAGTGTTAATGCATTTTTGCCATCAAAAACTTTTTAAATGTGTAGAAAAATCAATTACCTCCAATAAAAAGGACAAAAACAGTACAAATGTATTTTACCAGTTTCAGCATCGAAAGATGTTCAAGTTTCTTTTTTAAGACAGGAAACACTGAAAGACACATACACCTTACGAGTGATCGAAAAGGCGCTACTACTAATGGAACAACAACAAAATAAGATAACTGTAAAGGGAATTTTGTGTTAGATGGCAAGTGTCTTCAATATTGCATAGATCAGCAAAATGTTGTTTTTGTCCGGCTTTTTTTCTGAATTTTATAGTGACCCGGCGTGTTCTCATATTTCAGAGTAATATATATATATATATGATCCGTTCATCCTATTTCGACTCTTCAAAATTCAAGAGTCTATCCTAAACTGAGGTAAATTATATGGCCTTCCAAATACCGTTTGGATTCCTAACATCACTGAAGAGACATTAATTGTCGAAATCCGGATATGGTGTACTAATGTTTGCACCTTTTGTTTGCGGTATACCATCTTTTCCGCAAGTTTATTGTTTTCTGTTTGGTATTGAATTAATAGTTAAGATCCATTTTGTTACATCTGGTGATCCGTTTATTTGGCAATCGGCAATGGCAGTCAGCAGGGTTTAAGAACATCCGTTGTTCGACCTGCTAGTCAAATGCGTTTTGTTAAAATATACTTTTTCACTTTTTTGGTCTTTTGGAAAATGTTGTTTGTTCTGTATTTAGACCCCTCTACCAAGAAATTTGTTTTGCATGCACATGTATAAAAATTGCGGTTTTTATCCAACGCAAACATAGGTTTGAACGTTGTTTTCAATTTAGACTTGTTTGTATTTATATATATATATATATATATAAGGTCCACATTTACTTATCATCTTACCAAGTCTACGATTTGGTTGAGCTTTAGACCTATTGTTACAGTTAAGACTGACGATGAGTTGACTACTGGACGAACTGACTTCTCATATCCTACCATCAAATCTTGGAATAACAACTGCTCGTCTGGAACTCGATCACCTGATTGAAATAAAATTTGTTTAATGGTTAAACGGTACAAATATACATTCCAATGAAAAGGCAGTTTAAATAAAAGATATATTTATATATATATATATACAAGTCTAAATTGAAAACAACGTTCAAACCTATGATTGCGTTGGATAAAAATCGAAATTTTTATACGTGTGCATGCAAAACAAATTTCTTATTAGAGGGGTCTAAATACAGCACAAACAACATTTTCCAAAAGACCAAAAAAGTGAGAAAGTATATTTCAACAAAACGCATTTGACTAACAGGTCGAACAACAAATGTTCTTAAACCCTGCTGACATATATATATATATATAAAATCATAAAAGCATACATAACAGGGATAATTAAGTAGACAAAAGTCTTCCTCGTCTATTACTAACAGGGATAATTAAGTAGACAAAAATCTTCCTCGTCTATTACTAACAGGGATAATTAAGTAGACAAAAGTCTTCCTCGTCTATTACTAACAGGGATAATTAAGTAGACAAAAGTCTTCCTCGTCTATTACTAACAGGGATAATTAAGTAGACAAAAGTCTTCCTCGTCTATTACTAACAGGGATAATTATGTAGACAAAAGTCTTCCTTATCTATTACTCCTGATTGAGCACTTGTCAATTGATTAACAGAATTCATCAATCAGTAAGGCTGAGGGTAAAACAAAATCTTTATTTAGTTTACACAGAGACAAATAATACGTCTCTGGTTTACATAATCAGTACTTTCAGATGATTCAGTATATTGACTAGTAAAGCTTTTAGTATTTGACTACACGGTGAACCTTTTATACAATCTAAATGTTAAAGTCTATTAATAATCATATATGAATAATGTAGGTATTTATATTATTGCTACATGTAAAATGATGATTCGATGATAGTGCCGATTATTTTTCATACGTATTCAAACGAAATTTAATTCGATTAGATCATCCAAGTCTTGCGTTTTAAGTGTGGCACATCTGTATACTCTATGACAAGTGTGATTACTAAAGAAATGAAAACAGATACAAACAAAATATAGCTATTCATGGCTGATACTTTTTCATATTTAGAGTACGTCAGTTCATTTTAAATATGAAAGCTGATTATACTCTGTTAATAAATGATAAATTATAAATTATGATAAGAGAAGTGTCTGCATCTATTTTTATTTTCCCGATTTTTCATTTTTAACTTAATAATAACACAAAATATATTTAAAAAAAAACAATGTCATACCGCTTGTGTTCAGTAGATGAAAGCCAAGCAGACAGAGCATATGCTTCAATGAACATTTATGAGCATCATGCATGTTTTAGATGTATGTCACTCATTCAGACCTGAAATAGTACAAAGTTTAACATTTAAAAATATTTAAATTGATTCGTATCGGGTACAAAAGACTTTGTTCGAATTCATTTCTGAAACATTGATTAAAGTAATTTACTGCAGCTGTGACAATCTATCTTTACCATCAGTAATAAATCACATCTATGTTAATACAGTAAAGTGGAAAAGGTTTCAAATATATTAAGTAGTTTGTATTGGATGTTTTAGTTAATTCATCATGTTCAAGATCCACACAGACTCAATTATGTAATGTTCAAAAAGGTAGAACCAATTTCCCCTGAATTTTATTCACTCACAGAGTCAAGATCAAAAAGTTTATAAAATCTACTAGAATTCGAATATGAAAGAGTGTATAATACACAGTAAGATTTTACAACGATTTTATATAAATTCATGAAATAATAATATTATTCAGAGCTACATAATTATATATACATTGTTGTTGAAGACCGTTTTGACATAAAATGTTTTGGGTAAAATGTTGCATAGAAAACATCCATAACCAACAAGATATAATTTGTATCTGAAAGTACAAATTCCAATATAATCAAATTATGGTTAAGAATTTCTTTGATATTCATTTTTTCATAATTTTATTAATTTCGGGGCCTTTATTAGCTGATCATACGGTATGGGCTTTGCTCATTGTCGAAGGCCATATGGTACCCTATTATTTGTTTACACCAATGTCATTTGAATTCCGATGGACAGTTGTCTCATTGGCAATCATTCCACATCTCCTTATATTTATAAAGTAAGGGATTGCATGGTTTTTGAAATACAATGTATTTTACTTGTTATTATCCAGCAATTAAAATCGTAGTTGAACTAGTCTATATGTATGTTTAATTAAATCGAAATGCTTAAAATAAATTCTTTTATTTTAAATGTCAGTTTATAATAATGCCTTTTCTGATATTGAAAGCATATTATTCCAAAGAACTTCCAATATAAGATTTTAAGTTGAACCTTGAACTTTCATATCAACATATCACCTTAAAAGTTTTTTAAATGATGTAATAACGTGGTTTTTCGTGCGTTGCTGGAAAATGTCACAATTAAAAGCATGACGAACTTCATCTGCTTGTCATTATCTTTCTAAAACATTGTAAATTAAAGCAATGAACTATTATCTATATGTTTTTGAAAAATGTTAATAATACATGTAATGTTGTTTTAACATAAAATCCCATCATTTACACATAATGGTTATTGATTTTAACATTTTTCTCTTGGGTATAAACGAAAAGTGCTGAACAAAGAATTTCAAACACTAATTTAATATACAAAAATATCTTTGAAAATGACCATAGACAATTAGTACAGTATCAAATTATAAGCACTTGCCCTTGAACCGTGGGAATTTCTAAAACATTCAAAACCTGGTGTCCTGGAAGAAAATGCCTTCATTGAAGACTTTTAGATTGTCAAATTCTTAAACATACGGGTTCTGATACCGCCTTTTTAAAATAAAAGAGTAAACTTCATCGAAATGTATAAAAAAAAATCCTCTTGCTATACTTAATGTACAAAACTGAGGAATACATTTCCGCAAGTTGACGACGATACCCTACGAGTAAATATAATGTTTGTAAACAAAAAGCTCTATAAGTCTGTTTGTCAATTTTACGACGAAATTCTTATAATAGATGGATACTTTGGTAATCTTACAAATACAAAAACGTCATTACTTATACAAATGAAATTCTTGTAAATCATACATCTTTCCAGTCTTCTTTATACATTCCCATGAGTAAAACCAATGAAGATTCTCCTCTTTGGAATTTCTAAATTACAAAAACATCAACAACAAAGCAAAAATATACAAACGGTACATTTTTTGTTTATCTTCTTTTCTAACAAGAAACTATCATATCGACCAAGACTATGTCTACTATTGAAAAGAAGCTTCACGTTTACACTGTGCGATGATACTGTAGCAGCATTAATCAAATGTGTTTTCTGATTATTATTTTTTAAGAAAGTAACATGGAAATATCGTGTCGCTTTGTTCTCAAAACTACCATACTATCAGACGTATTGTATACACATAACCAAATATTACAATTGACATAGACGAAAAAATAAGAATGAAATACAATTGATATTTTACAAGAATGGAAACCTGGACAAATAAATATTTACTAGAGTAAATAGAATCTCTTTCTGAATGAACAACGTACAATAAAGACTGTGTTATATGATAAAGGTATCCTTTGACTTGTATTCCAACTTCATATCATCGGGTAACTATACTGAATTTTAAAATATATCTGAAGCCAATAGACTGAGATGCCTTTCATACAAATAACATATACCTCCATACTAGTTTTCTGTTATACATATAGAAAATATCGTAGACAGGTGATAAGATTATTGAAGATATATAAATGTTTGCAATGAATTATACTTTATATCAAAAATGATAAAATCTCTTTTATAAATTGTACTCTGTGGAGTGCGAATATTTGTGAAGATGCTTGAGATAACTTTTACGTGTACAAAATTGTTGTGTAGAATGCTTTGTATATAGCGATACTCCATTTTGCTTGGTAAACAAGATTTCTTTTCGAACGCAGTGACTTTAAAATACAAAGATATAAAGGAAAATACCTATGTACATGCAAAGACCGCTAAGAGAGAAGACAAACCTCAATGCGCTGAATGGGACATAAAATTTTACAAATAAGAAATTCTGATCTACTGATTCTTTACAGTGTTCTTCTATGGCAAGCCGTTCTCGTCAAAACTCGTCTCGTCGTTAAACCCTTTTTTCGAAAAAATACACACTGAGAATTAAAAAAACCACACTGAAATTTAAAAACCTAAAATAACACACTGAGAAATCGAAATTACACACTGAGATTTAAAAAAATTACACACTGAGATTTTAAAAAGACACACGGAGATGAAATAAATTGTAATTTCCAATTCTCAGTGTGTGTTTTTTATTTTTTGTAATCTCAGTGCGTCTTTATGAAATCTCAGTGTGTAATTTTTAATTCTCAGTGAGTGTTTTTAGTTTTTTTTAATCTCAATGTGTTTTTTTTTTAATTCTCATGCAGTGTGTAAATTTTTCGAAAAATGGTTTAAACATAGTTTTGACGAGAACGGCTTGCCATATTCTTCTTTGCATAACTGTGGTAAAAATAAGTTTTAAACTAATCTCCTCAGAAAAAGAGAACCGTAGACTTTTTTTACTTTTATGTTCAGGTATGTTTGCTTTTGGTACTAAGCTTCTAAATGTTTTATGCATTTGGGTTAAAAACTTTGAAACTCAAAGGGTGATTAAGGAAGTATGGTATGGATGGGGGTCCTTCATTTCTGTATTCTTTAGTTTTTTAGGTAATTTTTCTCTATTCTTTATACTTTTTGCCCATTATTCTCTATTCTTTATATTATAGCACCTCATTATTCTCTGTTCTCTTCTTTTTTGTCCATTTTTTCAATTCTTTATACCCTACTCTGCAAACCCCCATCCACACCCTCATGGAGAAATGTGAAAAGCGACGATTCTAACACCACAGTAACTGTTTCCATAGGTTCTATGGATATCATAATATAGACCTTGGTTTTTATGTCACAAATCAAAGTGTATTGTTTTGTATGTATAAATGTTATGCTGCCCACCAAGGGCCCTTTATTGGAACAATAAATATTCTTCTTCTATAGACAAAATGCTGATTCAGAAGTTTAATTGGCAGACTTAACATAGACATCAAGCTAAACCTAAACACCCACGGACTTTAAATTTAATAATCTGAGTCGATGGATCATTATTTGACATTTTTGTCCGATCGATGTGTGAGGCAAATTTATATAACCATTTAATTTCTTTAAATTCTTCGAATAAAAGATGCACATAACCTACATATCAAACACAAACATGTAACAATTATCTTTGAAATAACACGCCGTATGAAGAGACAAACCCGTCAATTAAACGAAAACAAGAAAATAATGATATACTTCATTGAAACTGCTTTGTTATTACTGTTTCATAGTACAGAACAGGAACATTTATTCTGCATTAATAAATCTTAACAATCAAAACGAAAAAAATATAACATACCTCTGACGACAGTATTTCTTTAGGTTTCCGTAATCATGGTAATGATGGTGAATATTTTCATGTTTACATCCATAATATCTGACAAGATGAATATTTATCAACAATATTAAAATAAAAGCCTTCTATTCTAACATCTGTTGGTTTACATACAGATGTAATCAAACGTAGAAATTTCAATATTCCGTTTAATCTTTCTCATCTGTATCATGTTCCAATTATCAAGCTGACTTGAATGATTCGATGTTTAATCAATCGCAGCTTCCTGTAATTATAAAGCAGTCTGATCAGGTACATAATTTAGGTTGTGATTGATTATGTGTGCATTGTCAACTAAATAGTTGGAAAGATCTATAAGGCGTTCACAGTAAAGAGACAATTTGAAAAAGAGACAACACAAATTTTATGATGCAGAATGCAGTAAGCACCACACGGGTTTCTCGAATAATCGAGGCTTAACTTTAAAAATCCCGAAATACAAAGTGTTTTCCTTCTCTGCAATATTAAAAGTAAAACTTTCAACATCCTTTTGACGTGGTTTTATTTAATAATAATATCCAACTTCAGAGCAATAAAAGAAATATTACATGTGTTTAGATAACAAGATAAAAAAACTTAGTGTATTCGAGTTCTTCCAAGGCTGTATTTATGGTAACCACTGTAGTCGTAACTATGGTCACTGATACATTTTGAGTATAAAAAAAACTCATCAAAAATAAATATACGCCTGATGTGCATTTCGATTACCAGTAGCGTTGAACAGTTTGAATCCGAAATAAATGACGAACTTGTGAAGAGCACCAAAAATATGTCTTTCAAATAACATGTTATGTTCTCTTTTGACCAATGGATAAGAACGGATATATTGTATCATTAGAAACATAAACCCAAAGAAAAGAAAAGGTAGTTTTATTGTTGTTGTCCTTCTAAAAGTCATACAGTCTACGGTCTCCATACATCACGATAGAAAATCTTAGTCAACTTTTCTTCCTTACTTCTACGTTTAGGATGAGTTTCTCTAATTGTATATTCAATCGATGTTCTTGAATAATAAGAAGTCTAGACGTACAGTCAAAATACAAAATGTAAATGCTGAGGTATTATAGGCTATGAACAATACTTTGGTATATGGTTAAAATGATATTAAAAGCGGGACAAGAATACATTCATGTTAAAATCAGTCACAGGAAATTAATACATTTCGGTTCATGTACAAATTTGTCCTGGTGTTAACATATGACCAGTATACATGTTATGACACAACCATGGTAACGTAATGGCCTTCGACATCCTCGCAAATTTTTCAATCGAGGGTAACAATACCCTCTTGACAACCCTTAACTTCCTCGACCAGGAAATTACTGTATTTGTTTGCACATTCATAATCCCTTTGATAAACGGTTGCGTCCCTTATTTCTTAAATTCTATTCATTGTTTGCTCGCCTTATTAAACAATTAGGGTTATCTTGAGCGATGGATATCCAGAATTGCTAATGTTTATGATATGCTTTCTTTTGGACTATTATGGCCCGCGGAAAAATAACTCTAACAAGTTGACAATTCTTGATGTTCACCTCATAAGACCAGACGGCCGGTCATACTAGAGATACTGTGAACGGGATGCTCGAAAGTATAAGTAGTTCCGATGATAAACTGGTTTAATAATTGCAATATACCTTATCAGACAAAATTTATATTCCTTCATGTACATTCTTTTATGTGCATTCTTTTGTAGCACATAAAAACCAGAGATAAATATCAGGAATTAATGAGCAGTTTCGTGTGGACTAATGGAAGAAGATTCCATGATGCATTTTGGAATTAATTTCTTTTTGCAACGGAAATGAAATAACTGAAAAATTAAATGGCAGTAAGTTGATTAATTACGAGGACTAAAATCAATAAGCAATATCGAGGTATACAACCAACACATATGATTGATTGTTGATTGCTATACTAGCAAATACATTGTACTTCATGCATATACACGAGGACAAATTTACAATAAATGGAAAGGTAGATAAAGCAAAATGTTTCTACCGGGATACAGGAAGGTATATTAAGGATTGGTTAGACTGATGCGGATAGAAATGTTGCCTTACAACAGGCCACCCATATGTTTACGAAACTCTTAGAATTTTTGCAAGAGTTCTTTAATGGTTATTGATAAGTGTTGCAGAAATAAAATATATATATACACATAAATTGTTTTGCAGCCAATGAAGTTGCCCACGTATAATAGAATAATACTGACTTTTAAATGAATGATACAAAATGAAGTAAATAACAAACAAATGTCACATAAATGTCAAACTAGTATTTATTAATTTTCGATATCTAATCAACTTTATAGTGCTAAAATGTATGTAATATTTGTGTTCTTTGTTATCTGACAAATGGATATTTAACTCATCGACTTCAAAAAAAAATCTTCTAGAAACATTTGAAACACATGTGCAGCCACGTTAAATCGTTTCTTCTGTTTTACTTGTTTTTTTATACTGTTTTGAACTATTGACTGAATAACAAATCTTCATTATGACCTTCCACATACACTTGTAAAAAAATTACAAAAATAACACGGCATTGAATGAAAGTTTTAAAATAACATCATCGTTATATGTTTATTCAAATAAAGCCGCTAGCTTTGTAGGACATTGGGAAAGTAAAATTTAATAATTCTTCTTACTTTTTCAAGATAAACGATTACAAATACGGAGTCATGATTAGTTGCAGGGGGTTTTGTGTTACTGGCGTATTGCGTCATTACATATTTGTGCAGTTTTCGTGAACAAATGATAATTAAAGGAATAAGTATGATAAAAATGTAGACTAAAACAGAGTGACTCATAAATAAATGGTTCAGTAAAAGTTAGCTTTATTCATTTCATATGACTTTGCTTTTGTACTAACTGAACACCTATATTGCCTAGGTTTTGAAATATGAATTTTTAAATCGATGCAATGGATTCGCAAATGTAAGGAGAGATACGATGAATACATACATTGTATTACAAGATACATATGTATTACAAGAATGTGGGGTATACGTCAACGAGACAGTAACGTAACCATGGTAACGACACAACTGACCAGATATATCTATCGTGCAACATACACTTTTCAACAACATATTCAGATGTCTGATTTCGAGAAATGAACCATGTTTGTAAAAAGAGGTGTTCCTTTTGATCTCTTTTCCTTTTCAATATATCATTGCACTCAACCTGTATTCATTCAAATTGTTTACTATATAAGGAAATGCCTGTACCAAGTCAGGATTGTGACAGTTGTTTTCCATTCGTTTGTTGTGTTTGAGCTTTTGATTTTGCCATTTGATAAAGGACTTTCCGTTTTGAATTTTCCTTGTCATTATTTTACTTTTTTTGTTAGTAGATGATCCTATTCTGTTTAGTGCGTGTATTGCAATGTTAAGCCTCAAAATATATTTGTATATATATATATATTTGATATTTGCAAAATTTTTTAGTCATTTTTTGAATTGTTAAACATACCTCGCTACTGTAAGTCTATTTTTAAATTGTTTTCATGTTTTATATGTGTGTATAAAACAGCGCATCGGAATTGAAATATTGCCTTTTTAAGCTTTGTTTCCTTTGATGTTTGAATAAGTTTCATAGAAGTCTGTCCCCTCCTGATCCCCTCTAAGTCTGCTGTCGACTTGACGTCGCCTTTCCTTCTCAACGTATTTCAATTTACCAGCCGAAATGTTAGAGATAACTCGCATATACAATCATGTATTAATATTTACAAATATAATTGCTTTTCAAAATTTTACTTTTGATAATTAATTGTTCTCATTTGCAGTCAACCTTCTTTGAACACGACTATTGCGTTTTAAAATCCTAATCATTCCACATCACATTGGTGATCAATGATGTGGAATAAAAACTGAAGTACATTTCATTTTGTAGAAATATATGTGATGATATCTGAAACACACTGGGGAAAACTTCAAATGTGTTTAAATTACTTTTTACTTGATATTGATCTTAAATTGGCCAGACTTCGTTTGAGAGCGAGCATTTGTACAGCCTGATGTTTTAGCTCTTTGTACTAGAAATGTGCCCTTATGGGACAGACGCACAATGTTCTGGAAATATTAACCGCCCTAATGAAGTTGAATATTGTAACATAAAAAAACAACATTTTATTGTTTTTTCCCCCTGAATAATGAAATCTATTTATTTGTTAGTTTCCTATGCATTTGGGATACAACTGGATACAACAAAGACTGGTATACGGTATACAATAGGTTCGAAAGCCGGTTTAAGAATATACCTAAAAGTTTGCAAAAGAGAAGAGCATTTTCGTAAACTTAATTTGTGTGCTGTTAAAGTCGGGCTATGTCCAAGCACAAAATTGTTTCGGTGTCAAAGTGCTCAACATGAACAAAACAAAATGTGATTGGCACGCCAATGTCAGATCTAGAAATCTGTTTGTATGTTTCCACGAGAAGTCTCTCAATCTAGCAAATATCTGTATGTCAACAATTATACCGTTCACATAATGTATACAAGATAAACGATTGAATGATAAATACGAGTATGTTTTTCTTCAAAAGACGCAACATAAAAGATCAACATTGGACTATTTGTTGTAATAATCAATGTTTAAAATTTGTTGTATCCATAAGAATGTCAAACTGTCATAGTAACACGAAACTGCTAAATAACATTAGTTTATAGAAATAATCAATACTAACAGAGACAAGTTTTGCATTACATTGCTTTTTAAGGTTCCTTCTTTTGTTGAAGGGGATCTTTATTACTGCAATTCTGCTTTTAAAAGACCGACATTAATGTCAAAACTCAGTTAAGCTAATTGTCAAGTAGGTTTCATTGCTTCGGGAAGCGTCTAATTGGCACTTCTGTATATGTCTTGTATTAAGTATAAAATGATTATAGTGTTTCAACATTTATTTTATTTGGAAACACGGTCCATCTATATTATCTTCGAGGCTTGTATCCAGGAATTTGACAATTGACAAATATAATGTGAGAAATAAATGGCTTTCTATTTTAAATCATTTGCCCTGAAAAACACTTAACTAACAAATATGATCTCATTATTGGGGGTAACTGTCCTGAAATAAGTAGCATGCATATACAACAAACTGTATACGTATTAAAACTCCTGGTATTTTGATTCTGTTGAGAGCGAACGGTTTCATTCAAGTTACTGCTTAGTCACAGTTCAATTTGGGGTCCTCTTTTCGGACCGCGTTTGTCATGTCGAATTCACTCAAAAAAGTGCAATGGTTGGGAAGGAAAAAACAATACATTAAAAGGCGACAATGTTAAATTACAGGATAAACAACATTCGAACTTTGCAGGAATATATATATTTTTCCGACAATGTA